TTGTTTATCCATATCCTGTCCCCCAAGTGTAGATTCGGCTATCACCTTCGCTGGTGGGACATTTTTCTTATTCTTCGGTATCAAATCTTCTATCTTTTATCGGATTTCTTTGTCTTTTTGCTATTCAAATAAATAAATGATCAATTTTATTTTAAACAAATGTGTGATGAATGGGTTTTGGATGTGAGTTTCCGTGTGATGCGAAAAGAATCATGACTCTGCGCGAAAGTGTGATCATGATTTATTCGAGTAAACGATTTGATGTTTCGTGATCTCCACTCGAATCTTCATTCGCTGGTAATTGTGTATATATCATTTGCGACAATAGATAGTCGACAAACAGGCATGTGCAGAATTTAGTATTGAACGGAAAAATTCTATTTTATTATCTTTTAACTAATAAAATTTATTTGCAATCAGTCGGAAAGGCGTAAAATAATAACGTGTTAAGATAGCTTTCCGAATGTGAACTTTATTTAGACCTGTTCGGATACATTAAATTCTAATTATGATAAGACTATCTTGAGATTTTATGATGTATTAATCTTCAGCGAAATCCATAGCTCACCCTTCCGCCGTAGAGCCCAATCTCCTCTTTAGCATAGTTGGCCGCATCAGGCGACACATTGGAGCATGCTTCCAAGTAAAGATTTTTTAACGTTCTCTTACACTTCCTAACCAAATAAGCGACACCACTCCCGGTTATTTCACTGCACCATTGAACATTAATCTCCCTTAGATTACAGCAGTGGTTGGCAATTTTTTCCAAGGAAATATTCGAAATATTTGAATTCTGCCGGAGATCAATTATTTCTAACGGATGTTCCCCAACAGAGTTGTTGAATAATGATGAAACTCCGTGGTCGGTTATTCCAGGAGATTTTCCGACACGCAATACCTTTAATCGATCACAGTATAAACCGATATTATACATCGTCTCATCAGTTAAGAGATTATCGCCGTTAAGTTCCAGTACTTCCAGATTGAAAGACATTACTAGACATCGAACGCAGTTATCCGTCAACAAAGGACACTGCTCAAATGAAAATTCATGGAGTGGCAGATTGGAACGGGCAAGTGAAACGAAGGCCCTATCCATGGACTGCGGTTCCCTATTGATTATATTTCCCTCCAAGGAAAGAGAATTTAGATCCGGAAATTTGGAGAATTCTTTTAGCGTCTCTGTCGATAACCCAATGATTTGACGAACGCCGAGACACGTGAGCTTTGGAAACAATGTCACCATAAAAGATATGGCGATTTCGGCCATCCGACAATAATTCAGATTGATTTCGCGAATTCCAGAAGCTCGACATTGTATCTTCTCTGGATTGAATGCTTGAGCTGTAATATGGTTGCAATGCGACAGGTCCAAAAACTCTAATCTAGAGCAAATTGACAGTATTACTTCCACTCCCTTATTCATAATATTTGTAGCTGAAAGGTTGATATGTTTTAGATGACTGCCAATTGTGCGAATAAAGGGAACGATGGCGTCGTTAGTAATTGACGAATTGTATGTCAATACAATTTTCTGAAGGCGAATTCCGAATACAGTTCTCAAATATTTTAGAGTGGCATCAGTAAGTTTTTGAGAACAAGGACAAATCACTTGTTTAATTTTTGATTTTCCTCGGTCGATATAAGTTCGAATAATCTTGTCCGTGATTTTAGCAGATTGTTTCACGGTGAAATCAAGGCTACGATGTAGTAACCCCGACGAGATGATGTATTTGCGCCAAAGTTTGGAGACCAAGGTTGCTTTACAAACAGTCGCAAAAGGAAGACTCATGAAGATTTCATGGTTGAGCTCATTCGGGAAAAACATTAGTGGGTCATAAATTTTGGTAGGATTAGACTTCTAATTTTAAAAAAAGTCAGACTCTATTCAAATGACAACGCGTTTGGATAGAACGAAATTGTTTAACCTGCGGTTTTTTGTGCCGTTCATCCTTAAGTCTGCATAATGCCTGATATTACTGAGTTCTTTAAACTTCCGTGTGCTTATATTAGGTAATACTTTGGAATAATGGATTTGTTTGTTACTTACCTCATAAAGAGGATCATCTTCTGGAACGTTTGTTATTCCAAGTTTATAAATCTCCTGCGCTTTATCATGCAGATTCAACAGCCGATACAATTTACCAGCACGGAGATAGCCCTATAAATCATGATGAATGATGGATGTCTCAGATCATTGACACGATAATTTCATGTCAGTCAGTACCTTTGCTGACGACTTGTCTAATCTCAGCATGGTCTCGGCATCTTGTCGTGCCTCTTTCAGCTGACCAAGTTTTTCGCATGTTGCTGCGCGACAATCGTGCAATTGAATATTTCCTGGATTTAATGTTATTGCCTAAAGTGTATACGAATAAAGAAAACATCGTTCGATAATGCCCCAAGTTATTAAAAAAAACGCGAGAAAAAAACAGTTCTGAGCAACCTTATTGAAAAGTGTAAGGGCTTTTTTGAAATCATTCTCTTTATATGCGGTCAAGCCGTCGCGATGATATGATTGAAAAGTTTCATTCTTTTGCGAAGGAAGCTTTGAACCACCTCTCTTTATCATTATTAGACAAGGATGCGAAATAATGCCGATCTATCAATCGCAATGATGATTATTTATTAATGGAAAATAATATACAAGCAATAATACAATCATTGATCACCAAATACGCGACTTTCTAAGTTTATTTCTAAAAAAAGGGATTTTTTTTTTTTTCTTTTTTTACTAAAGGACTTCATTAATATTTTGAGCTTTCGGTGGTATGGGAGGAAACAAGAACACGTCTTCTTCTTTTAAATTATCTTCGTTCGCATTACTATACCAAAAGCAATATATATCAATTTGGCTTTCGGGCATAACAGCTCTTGGTCTAGGTCCCGAAAGACGTAATTTCCCTCCTTCACCTTCGGGGCTATATACATTTTGTGGTGGTGACAACACCAATTCGTAGGACTCGTCGTCCCTTTCCTTATTTTGTATGGAGATGACGCTTACACGCGAAGAGGAGTTCACGTCTTCCGCTCTACTGTAATTCCGATTACTTTCCCGTGTGTAACCCCCCTCCTCTAAAAGTTTGTGACTTTTTACAGAAGATTGATTACTACCAAAAAAACTTGTTAAGCTATTTCTAAGGGAATTTAAAGAATTCAGTAAATTATCGTTTAACATGAAGCTATCTGTGATGCTAAAGCCATTGATGATGGTTACTAATGAACCGGTGAAGTCTTGACTGATTCTTGACGAGATGTTTTGGGGAATCTGTGGTGGATGTTTTTGTGAGGTCGATGATTGTCGAGAGATTCCTCCTGATATGCTATCAATCGTGTATCTATTATATTCGTTGTATTGGGGGAGCAGTGTTGGCGTGGAGATGTTTGAGCTATCTATGGACTTTTTTTTAATTGAATAACCCAGAAGCGAAGAGGTGGAATAACGATTGACGATTGAACTCGCGCTCATGACAGTTAATCTTTGGCAACAGATTGAAGTAATGATGAGGGCTGGTGCAATATTAACAAAGTTATCTATGTAGTTTGTCTTTACAAGGATGAAGACAACATTTATCGTCTGAAATGTAACGTTCAACACTAAATATGAGATGCCGTCATCGAAGAAGAGGCAACGCCAGCACATCTTCTCAAGTTCATTCCAACACCTCAACGAATACACTTTGACCGCGATTAGTACGAAAATGATCAAGCTAAAGATTGCCATCATTATGAATGCGATGGGAATCCATGATTCTGGTTTCTGTCCTGGTTGCAAGTAACAATTTCCATCGCTCCCCACGGTAAAAATACCAAATCCGAAGATGTTTGAAACGTGAAAAATACACGTTGCACCGGAATAAGCAAATAGAGAAATGAGCAAGAGGATGGAGTTGGAGTAATACGACCGGAGAATCGAGAGCAATTCTAAACATTGAAGGCAGATGCCTAATGCGTAAAAACATGTTGAAATAATTTCCGTGGATTCGCAAGTTGATGGAGTGTGATGTGCGTAATGTAGGAAAAATAGAATGACCGCACAGTAGAATAGTGTGTTTATCCTGGAAGGATGAAAAGAAACCTTGTTAGGATGTTACTCTTTTTTTGCGATAGGTAGGGAAATTTCAAAATACAACTTACTTGTCGAGAATGAAAAACGCCAAATCAGGGGCGATCCATTTCTTTCTTAAATACCAAGACCAATCTTTTTTAGCGTGTATAATTAAATCATAAAAATAGATGGCTATTACACCGGTCACATAGAGTTCGTATCCATGAAATCTATTAGCAAGAGAGTCTGATGGAAATGATGACAAGCTGCCTTCACTTGCGGTTGTTATTCCACGTTTTATTAAGGGTAAGTATGGATTAGGAGATGCCATTATTGATTATTATGGATTTTGGATGTCTTTTTAATGAATGAATGAATGAATGAATTTTTTAATAATAAAGAGGATATAAGAGAATGTGAATTTACAATATAAAATTAAAGGGAAAACCGGCCCTCAATATTTCATTATTTTTTCAAAAACTGAAGGGACATTTTCGCGCATAAAAAAAAGTGAAAAAAGTACCCAGTTTTTCTTTAGGTATTTTTTTTACGTCTCATCGGTTCTATTTATTCTTATGCGAGGACTGCAATTCCCGAAAAGGAATTCAAGAGAATTTCTCTATGTCCGAACTTTTTTTGGCATGCTTGTGGACGTAATTTCTTTTTCTTCACTTGCATTGGTATTCGCACCGTCAATTCAGTTTCTTCTTTAAATGGCATATAAATTTAAACTAGTTCTTTATACATAAAATTTTCTGTAAATATTTATATTTCTTGTTGATAACCCTGTTTGAAAATCTTGAACCTTTCCTTTATTAGAAGCGTCCGCCTTCACGTGACATCCTTGTATGTACTTGTATGGACTGTCATTGTGGCTAGACAATATTCACGTCAATAAATCGATCCCATGGATTGGACATTGGTTGATGCATTGTAAAAAGTACAAAACCGAAATTCCTTGTCTCATCAAATGTGTCAACCAGCCGCGCCTCACCAAGAACGAATGCATTGTGCAACAAAACGTCATGTACTCATTAAAAAAAAAAAAAAAGGAATTCAAAACTTTATGCTCAGTTATTTTTAACGATGCAAGAAGGTCCGATCCTATCCGGCTTTAACTTCAAAAGTCAATCGATGAAATTGACAGATTTCAATATTAATATATGGTCCATATCTAAAATTTAAAATTTCAATTTCCAAACATAAGGAAACCCATGTTAGTTGGTTTCTCGAAACAATATAACTTTTGACCACTAAAAAAGCATAATCGAATACTTGTAGCCTATAATGTAAAATAATATGTAATTTGTTATTATAACAAAGAATTTGAATAATCAATTGATTAATCTGTAATACTTTAAACTGTCTAATATTTTTCATATATACAGGGTGTCAAGAAAAAAAATTATATATATATATATATATTTTTACTTATAATTAAATGGAACCATGTAGAAAATTAAATAAAAAAAATTTTTTTTTTTATACACCAAAGTCTATTTAATTAAATTTATTAAATAGTACATGTACTTGAGATTACAAAGCTATTTTGCTATCTATATTTTTTATGTGTATATTTATCTAAATTTTACAATTTAACTATTTGATAGAACTAACTTATTGTAATAATTTTTTTGCTGTTGCTATATTATATATCATATTACTGGACATTTTGAAATATTCTAAAATATTGAAAAACTTTTTGAAATTTTATAAAATATTCTAAAATTTTCTAAAACTTTATAAAACCTTTTGATATATTTTATTTATTTCTTATTATTTCTTTTTTTTTAATTGGTCAAGAGCATTAAATATAAGGTTTTTATTGATAATTAATATCACTTTTATTATATCAAACATCTTTACAAAATAGACTATTGCTATTCTAAATATAAATTAATACTATCTAGTAAATATTATTTCCAATATTATTAATTTCTTTTGAGCCAACTTGATTATTCTGATTAGTTAACTTATATTATAAAGATAAGTTTGCATTTAGATGAAATTTATACAAAAGGAGACTTATGGGTCTATAGCTTAGTGGTAAAGTTCCATAGGTCACCAGGTGAAGGTCTAGGGTTCAACTCCACCTGGTTACAAAAATTTATCACCTTCATGATTGGTTGACCTGCTTCCAATTCATGTCATACCCAATCAGCCATAAATCACCTTCCAAAATTAGTTAGGCTGCATGAAAATGGAACCTCTGGTCTTCCCGACGATCGCGGGCTGAAAACAGGTCAAAGCAAGGAAGGTTGCACGAGGAAAGGCTTCTGGTCTAACTCCAGTATAAGCCCACAACCCCAACTGGCACGACAGACTTCGTAGCATCACCTCCTATTCAGGTTGAATGGCTTCCTGAATAAAAGTTGTATCCAATCAGCCAACTTCCTCAAACTAACACGGCAGACTCCGTATAATGCAGGTCGGACCTTACTACCCTATTTGATGTTAGCGCAATCCGGATTGGTGACCCAATTTGGGAAAGAGTAGGGTCACAAGCCAAAAAGGTGACTGCTAGGAAGGTTTTTCAACTGTTGGACAGGATTTTCCTTACCTTATATTTACAAATAGGGAGTTATAGTATAAACCAGGGTATGGACTCACCTACTTGGTGAAAGTTGGTATTCTGGTAAAAAGGAGTGGGTAGCTTGAGTTAATATTAGCAATATGTTAATAGACTATTTACGCGTAGACAATTGTAATCTTAAGTGATCTCACAATAAAGTATATGCGTATATCGCAACTTGGCCCCTTAAAAAAAAAAAAAAAAAAAAAAAAAAGAAATTTATACAAAAGAAGAAAATCTTACTACTAGTTTTAAACCTATTTTTTTATTAATTCAATTGTATTTTTCAATTGTTTGTCAGGAAAAAATTATATAGAATATTATTATAAAAATTAATTTCAATTATTTCAATCACCTGTTATTACTAATTTTTGGAATGTATAACATTGCATTATTATTTTTACTACTTGTAAAACTGACATTCTTACTTGGATTCTAATTTAATCTTGAAGATATTTATTAAACTTACTTGATTTTAATGATTTTTGCTTAGATTGTTATTACTTGTAATTAAGAATAGGTCCCTAAATTATTTAGCATATAAAATTTCATAAATTAATTATGTCCCTTTTGAAGGAACAAAATTAATTATTTATTAATTTAATAGGAATATAATTTAAAAAACATTTGGATCAAGTGGCCTAAATTGCAAAAAATTTTTATAAATAGTTTTTTTTTTATTTTTATATTTAAAAAAAAACCTTTTTAATAGTGAGGGATATTTGAATTATATTCTCATCTTTAATTTAGGAACTTATCTTTACTTGTAACAGATAATCTTTACTCTTTTAATTTATTTAAGTTTAAAAAAATACCACTTTTAAAATAAATCTTCAAGCTTCAGATTGAAATAGATCAGCTTAGAATTAACCTTTTTAGGTTATATAATAGAATTTGTTATTATTAATTTAGATTGAAGTTTTATAAACTTATTAATAAAGTTAAAAAAAAAAACTCTTTCCCACTCCCCCTTCTGCGCTTGAAAATTTCCTTTTTAGGAAATTTTTGAGTTGTTTATTTTTTTCTTCGCTCTTCCCCTTCCCCTCTCCCTTA